TAATACGAACAATACTAATACTAAGAATCATAGCGACAATAATGATACTAAGAAGCTGCATAAACATAAACGTTTGGATATTCGCGCGGACTTCCTGAATCTGCGCTGGGCCCCCCCTGGCGGCGCCTCTGGCGCTGCCCCTGGCGCGCTTCGCGCGCCAGGGAGGAGCCCATCGCCGATCCACAAAGTCCGCCCAGACCTCCGACAATTTGTGTTTGTGCAATTTTTGTTCTTCGATGGGGCCTCCCACTCCCCCCCTCCGCTCTGGAAGCTCGGCAGTTCTTCCCCGAGAAGAAGACGTTCGGCCTCCATCATGTGGCTTTTCTCAGCCCTCCCTGTGGCTGGGCTATCGTTTTGGACGGCGTGCTGTGGCCTGCATTCTCCTGCTTCTCCTCCCCCTCCTCGTCCTTCGCTCTGGAAGCTCTTCTCCTCCAAACTGGAGGCACGTTCGTAGAAGCCTCCTTGATGGGATCGGAGGATCGCGCCGAATCGCCGATGCATCGGCGATGCATCGGCGATGCATCAGCGGCGTCGGTGATGCTTCGGCGACGTCGGCGTGGAGAACACCTGACGCCACATCGAGCCGCATAGTCGATGCATCGGCGATGCGGTGCGATCCCCCGCCTCAATTGACTCGGACCCCATTCGGGAGGCCTGGAATTCGACCTCCATCATGTGGGTTTTCCCCAGCCCTGCCTCGGGCTGGGCCCTCGTTTTGAATGTAAGCACTGTGGTCTCCATTGTAATACTCCTCCTCATCATAATCATAGTCATCATCAGCAGCAGCAGCAGCGGCAGCAGCACCACCACCATCACCAGCACCATCACCATCATCAGCATCAGCATCACTATCACCATCACCATCATCACCATCATCATCAGCATCATCACCATAAACATCCTCATCGTCATCATCATCATCATCACCATCATCAGCATCAGCAACACTATCACCATCACCATCATCATCATCATAATCATCATCATCATCATCATCATCATCATCATCATCATCATCATCATCATCATCATCATCATCATCATGAGTATCAACATCACCGCCATCATCATAAACATCATCACCATCGCCGTCATCATCAGCATCAGCATCCTCATCATCAATATCAGCATCAGCATCAGCATCAGCATCACCATCGCCATCGCCATCACCATGATCATCATCGCCATCGTCATGATCACCACCATCATCACCACCACCACCATCATCGTCACCACCAGCAGCATCACCATCAGCATCACCATCACCACCACCATCATCACCAGCAGCATCAGCAACATTAGCATCACCATCACCATCATCAGCATCAGCATCATCATCATCAGCATCATCATCCGCCCCGCCTCCTGTCTCCTGCCTCCTGTCTTATCACCCGTCGCCACTACCGCCAGCTCCTGTCATGGGAGTTCCAGCGGAGCTGCGCGCCACGCGCACCCAGAACAGACCTCGCGGTCCCCTCGAACCTCCAACCTCGGCCCTCGGTCGGCGACCCTCGAACCCTCGAGGCCCGACCTCAAACACTCTGCAGGAAAGCGACATAGGCTGACATCCATGCGTTGCTCGCGAAAGTGCTGCAGCCAATGGGACGCACAGAGACATACTAATACTGTATGTCCTCCTTGGAGGCGCGCGTCCGACCCGAACACATATAGTACACCCATCTTGTAACATATCGTTTCCCGAGCGGTGTGGCCGGAACGCGCCCGCCACGACGCATATACCGTAAGATTTCTCGGTGCGCGCGTCGCCCCTGGGGGGACGAACCACATATAGTATAAGCATGTTTAGGTGACGCCGAGCCAACGCCCACTGCTGCCCACGAGCAGCACGAGCGCCGAGGACCGGCCAGGACTCCTCTCAAAACCTCGGCTCCCGGCACACCCCCCTCTCTGGGCCCACCCTGGCCGGCCTCCCGATCTGCGCCCGGCCGTGGCGGCGAGAACCTCCAGGCGAAAAATAAGCATCACGGTTGGACCTGATCGGAGGGGGCACGCGACACATTGCCGTAGGAATGTCGGGCAGGGCTGAACCTAAACGGTGTTCTTCGTTTTCGTGTTGTTTTCGTTTCGCTCGTTTTGTCTTCAATCCGCCTTTGCGGCAAAACGAAGTCGAAACGAAAACGGCCCACGAAATCGCCAAAACATCGTTTAGGTCCAGCCCTGATGTCGGGGGCACGGGTCGCGAGACACAGGACACAAGGGTACCCTTGATTGGGCAGGATCGACCTACCTACCTATCAGGGCCGACTGCACTTGATTTTGACATCAAAACCGCACAGCTAAAAGGCATACGAGTCACCGAGGCGAGAACATTGACGTCGACGCCGACGCCGACGTCGACCTCCGTGTCGACGTCGACGCTGGGGACGTCCCGGCGCGCACGCCCGTCTCGGCGAGAGGCGCGGAGGAGAGCTGGCGCCGCCCGCTCCTGCAGCCACAGGGTCCTCTCGAGGACCAGGAAGTGGCCCTCCATGCCCAGCACCTCCGCCCCCCCACCCCCCACTTCCCTTCCTCCCGAACACGGGGGAGGCGAGAGGGATAATGTGGGACGAAGAAGGAGGCGCCAGGAGGTGAAGGAGGAAGGAGGGAGGAGGAGGAGAAGGAGGAGGAGGAGGAGGAAAAGGGGGAGGAGGAGGAGGAGGAGGGGGGAGAGGAGGGGAGGGGGAGGGGAGGAGGAGGGGGGGGGAGGGGAGGAGGGAGGAGGAGGAGGAGGAGGAGGAGGAGGAGGGAGGGAGGAGGAGGAGGAGGAGGAGGAGGAGGAGGAAGAGGAGGAGGGGGAGGAAGAGGAGGAGGAGGAGGAGGAGGAGGAGGAGGAGGAGGAGGGGGAGGAGGACGACGACGAGCAGCTTGCGCAGAGCTGGGGGAGCGGGAGTCCACTCCGACCGAAGCGGGCGCCAGCCTCGGAGCGCACGCCTGGGGGGCCCGCTCAGCTTCGTCGAAAAGGTTGAAGACGATCCTTCGCGGCATTCAGCGCGGTGAGATGGCCCTCGTTAGTGTAGTCGATCTTGTTGGTCTTGACATCCAGGTCCATGAAGTACGACAAGCTGAAGCGCTGGAGAGCTCGGCAACGAATGTCCCCCATCTTGTGGATAGTGCGAGCTCGCGCCGATGCGGTCGAACTCGCTGTGCTGGGCGAAGGTGCGCGGCAGACGTGAGGTGGTAACGCGAGATGGAGTCGCATACGCCGACGCAGCCGAACTTGCACCAGTCGGCCTCGGGCGCGACGTGCATCATCGAGCGGGTGCGCCACCCGCCAGCCGGCGTCCGCAGCCTAACCCAGCGCGATGACAGCGCACGAAGTGCAATCTGCGCGTTCAGTACTCGCCAGCGGGCACGCAGGTCGTGAGCAGCGCTGCCAGGGCCAAACCACGCCGCCAAGCGCTTCTGCAACGTGACCTCGAAGCTGTCACGCACCCGGTGGGCGACCAACGCGTTGATGCAATAGCGCTGGGGCTTTGGCTTGATACCGTCGTGCTCGACATCGAGCACGGCACGCTTCGCAATCATCGAGGCCCTGACCCGATCGTGGCGACGGCAGGGAGGGACGACCAGCGACCCGCCTCGGACGATGGCCTCGAAGCGCTGGCCGATGGCGAACGGCTCCTTCCAGAAGGCAGACGACCAGTGGTGCTTAGCAAGTGCGGGCAGACTGCAGGCACGGCCAGCGGCAATGTAGAGCTGGCTGTAGAGGTCGAGCCACTGCGTCATGGCGTAGAGGCCGCGCGACACAACGTCCCCAGCGAGTACGCGTGAAAGAATCGCGGCGACGGCCCAGGGATCCAGTTGGCCAGCGCGTGAACGTCCACCAGGCGGAGGGTACTGGGCGGCTTCCGCAGCACTTTGTGAACGGCGTGGGTCTCTCTTTGCGACGAAGTTGAGGAAGTAGGTCGAAGAACTGCGTGAGGTAGCCGAGGACCGTGATCGACAACATCTGGTACTAGCGAACGCTGGCGTCGATCAGGGCAGACGGGGCGCCGATCGCAACGACACGCTGCCAACACTTCGACCCCACAACGGCCCACTGCATCGAGTTGTCGGCGCCATGGCCCACGTGCGCGCCGAGGTAGAGGCCCCCGTCCGCGACCTTGAAGGCGAACCCGTGGGGCAGGCAGCGGTGGAGGAAGTTGCCGCCCTCGGCCCTGACAGAGTCGGCGAGCTCGGCCCACAGCGGGGTGGGAGCTCGGCCCAGACGTTGAGACGAGTGCTACCGAGGAGCTCGGCTTGACGAAATACTTTGGCGAGCGGGACGAGAGACAGCTTCTACAGGTGAATGCCCAAGTCGTCTGGCCCAGACCGTGCCCGAAAGCGGAGAACCCTGGGCGACGCCCGAGTAAAGGCCGCACGCGAAGAAAAGCTCTTTGTGCACGATGGTGTAGCCGTCGGAGTTGCCATACACCGCGGGCGACGGCGTTAAGGAAGCCGAGCTCGAATTTGAACTGCTGGAGGGCAGCGAGAAGCCCCTGCCTCCCCAGCGAAGGGAAGGCGGCTGCGAAGCCGAAGAGGGCCAGAATCGGCTTCTCGACGTTCGCAGGCGGGCGCGAGTCCGCCAGTCGCCTCAGCGCGTCCATGAACACGATGTTGTTGCAGAAATTGCGGCCTCTGATGAAGCCCTGCTGGATCGGGTGAGCGTGGCGCTCAAACTGGGCCTGTAGCTGCTGGTTGAAGGCGCTGGCGAAGGAGAAGGAGCAGGAGAAGGAGGAGGAAGAGGAGGAAGAGGAGGACGAGGAGGAAGAGGAGGAGGAGGAGGAGGAGGAAACAACGCCCATGAGGGAAACTCCAGGACTGAATGCACTGCCAGGCAGCTCAGGGCGCTGGTGTGCATGTTGTAATCGTTGCCTGTGACCTTCTCGTGCCAGATGATGTTGCACAGGGGTCCCTGGGGGCCTCCATGGGGCCGGTGTGGCGTCGTCTCGGGGCCCTGGTGGTCCATCTTGGGCCGTTCTGGGCCCTCTTGCGAGTCTCTTGGAGCCGTATTGCTGTCTTGGGTCTCTCTTTGGCCTCGTTTGGGCTGTCATGGGGTGCGTGTTCGTCGTCGTGAGCCTCTCCAAGAGGCTTTCTTGGGGCGTCTTGAAGCGCTCTGCGGCCATCTGGAACACCTCTGGGGCCGTCTGGGGCCGCTCACGGGGCCTCTTGGGGTGATCCTGGGAGCCCGTTGGGCCGTGTTGGACACCCGTGCTGGAATGACCAATAGAATCCTGGGATACATCAGTGACGTTGACCTCTTGGGAGTCCGTTGGGGGTCCTCTTGAAACCCTCTTGGGGCGTCTTGGGACCCCTTGGAAGCGAGTGAGTGCCAGCTTGGGGTCATCGTGTGCTCTCTTGGCGCCGTCTTGAGGCTGTCTACGGCGGGATCTATGCGGCGTGAGTGAGTCAGTGTGGGGCAGGGAGGAGGCGGGAATGAGGGAAGGCAAATGAGAGGCGGAAGCGTGACACTAAACGCAAGAACCCCATCTTCGTAGATGGGGCACAGTGGCCCCATACTTGGGGCGGCATGGGGAGTCCATCTGAGTATCGGTGACCGAATGCGAGTCTGAGTATGAGCGACTGGGTATGAGTAAGTGGGTCTGAGTGAGTCTGCGTCCGGGAAAGCCTCAGGCGTGGAAGAGAGGGGGCGGGGCAGCAGAGGAAGGAGGCGGAAGCGCGACACGACCAACAAGAGCCCCCATGACTTACTTAGGATATGGGAAGAACTCGGACGCGATTGGTCTGCTCGAGCTGATACCATGCAATCCATGCGAGAGAAGAAGAAAGCGAGGGGAATGCTCTGTTAACTGTGGAAGGCATGCGTGGAGCATCCAGCGAAGCTGCCATTACGTTGGACTCTTCGTAGCAGCACGGGCCGCTCCTGTATCTACGGCTAGCAAAACTCTGCACCGTGCGGTCGGACATGCTGTGAAAAATGTGCACGTTGATCGTGCGGATGCGGGGAAAGCGGATCGGAAGTCAGGCATTCATGCGGTTGGCCAGCACCCTCCAAGCCTGCCCCCTCAGTGAAAACTCCTGGGCCGACAGCCTCCAAGTCTGCCGCCCCAAGCGCCCGAATGCTCCCCCAAAGAATACAGGCCGCGTGCGAAGGGGCATCCACAAGCTGCCTGGACACTCCAGTGCACACGAAGAGCACGAGCACTGGTGGTAAAGACTCTTTTGCCCTGAACATTTGAACCGAGGTCCCTCCCTACGCTGCTCGTTCACAGACCGCCCAAACCTCCAGATCTCCCAGGTTGGGCCTCCCCCCGTCCCTTTCGCCCGCCTCCCCCTGTTTCCCCCTCCCTGAGCGTTCACATTCCCGGTTGAGGAGGTGATGGGGGGAGGGCATGGGCTCCTCAACGCTCCCTCTGGGCCCTCCAGGCTCCCAGAACCGCCGACCAGGCTCTCGAGGCGCTGGGTGGCAGAAACGCTGCCGAGCGCTGGCGAGGATGAAAAAAAGCTGCACAGATAGAATATTAGTGACCGCTTATGCCGATCACATGCTGCAGACAGAACATCGATGATAGCCAGTGCCGATCACACGTCACAGACAGAAGGAACATCGATGATCGCTAGTACCGATTACGCGTCACAGACAGGACATCAACGAGCGCTTATGCCGATCACGCGTACGTAACAGGCACATAGCATCCATGGACGCCTGTGCTGATCGCATGTCAGATATCCAGGAGTCCCACGCTGGATATGGCCCACAACCAACTTATGGGCCATCTGTTCGGCATTCACGACAAGTCTTCACTGGGAATGTGAGAGCCTTCGCGCTGAATTGCCACCCAAGCCTTGATCTCGCCGGCGACCTTCACAGGCACTACGCGCCAGTGCATGATGAAGGGCGTCCCGTTCTTCCGGTAGTTGATTGCGCTGCCCTCGTAATCCCCGTTCCCCCTGTGCATAGACTCTTTGAGCCTGGCCAGGACCTTCTTGTCAGTGCCGGGGCCCTGCAACATTTTGGGTGTTTTGCCGATGGCCTCGACTTGCTCATATCCCGTGAGCTTCGTGAATGCCTTGTTGGAATAGACAATGGTGCCCTCCGGGTCAGTGATCAGAAGCGCGTCGAAGCTGTTGTCCGCCAGAAGCTCCAAAGCCGCATCTCGAGCAGGATTCGCATTGCTCTTGGCCTCGGCCGCGAGAAACAACAAATCTGCATCGCACAACGTGTCCGGAATTTCCGCACCATCTCCAATTGGCTCAACGAGGCTCCTCGGTGGTCCTCCAGCAATCCCAGTGCTCGCCAAAGCACGCAAGCCATTAACTCGCGCTAGTCGCAGCTCGTTCGCGTGGTCGCGGAACATACTGTTACGCATGATTGCCTTCTCCAACTTGGCTTCGCTCCACTGGGTGATTGGTGCGTTGGCGCCGCCCATTGTCATCTTGTCGATAATTCCGCGTCCACGGTCCTTGAAAGGCATCACTTCGTGGGCACTACCATCACGTGAGGCAATTTTCGCCAGGCCAACTCCGAGGGGAATGAGAGCTGGGACAAAGGCCATGGTC